TGTCAACCAACCACTGATGGAGCTTCTGTGGGGCAACATTCTCTAACTTTGAGGTTTATGCGTGGTGTCAGGTGGCTGAGGGTCGCGCATACCTTCCTGGGACCTTTCTGTGGTACTGGAAGGTCTTTCAGGGGCCCCATTTGAGCCCTTAGAGTCAGCCTCTGAGAAGCTTCTGACTCTAAATGTAACTCTTCTTCTGGCCCTGACATCTCTCAAGTGAGTAGGAGATTTTACAAGCTCTCTTTGTTGCTCCTTCATGCCTTGACTTTACCCCTGGATTAGCCAAGGCCTTCCTGTATCCCATGCCGGATTATATTCCTAAAGTGCCTACATCTGCTTCTCAGCCTGTGGTGTTGCAGGCTTTCTGTCCTCCTCTGTTTCTCACACGGGAACATGCGAGAATGCACCTGCTGTGTCCAGTAAGGGCTCTCTGTACTTATGTCCACTGCTCCGGCCAGTGGCGTAAGTCAGAGCAGCTGCTGGTCTACTTTGTCAGTGACATTAAAGGTGATGCTGTGTCGAAGCAGCGCATCCCTAATTGAATAGTGGAAGCAATCTCTATCGTTTATGAGGCGCATGGTCTCGCTATGCCTCTGAGCATAAGGACTCATTCCACTAGTGGGGTCGCCTCCTCAAAGGCTTTGTCCAAAGGAGTATCCATACAGGATGTGTGTTCAGCTGCAGGGTGTTCTGCGCCACATACATTCATTCATTCATGGGATGATAAAGTTAATCTCTACAGCGGGCAATTATTAAATGTATGATGGTGATTGTGATGATGCCAACATACATGCAAAACCAGTCCCATTCACAAGGCAAGAGATTTTTTCATGATAAAATTACATTGTGAGAAAACATCTTTGTCTTATGTCAAATCATAAGAAGAAAAGTTTTTATTATGTCAATATCACAAGAAAAAAAAATAATGCATTAGCTCTTAGTGCTTCTGTAATCTTTGGAACATTTACTGGAACATTTACAGTGACAGCAAACCCCCTCATCTGCAAACCAATCTTTATTTAATCTTTATTAATTGTTCAACTAATCTAGATAGCAAGTTAGGCTAGGTGCTCCAGTTAGACCTTTTTTAGTAAAAAAAAAAAATAATAAATAAATAAATAACAGCAGATCATACATTTTAAATCATTTATTGTTTAATTTCATAAAAAATTTTATGTTGTGGAATTTCCATAAAACAAGTTAGTTCTGGTTATCACTTATTATAAAACAGTGATAAACAGGCATTCCCTCACTAGCCTCTTGTTTTTTTCCTCCATTAATAACATTTCGCATGTAGGAAAACCTAAAGTTACAGCGGCAAGAAAAAGTATGTGAACCTTTTGGAATTTCATAGTTTTCTGAATAAATTTGTCATGAAATCTGATCTGATCTTCATCTAAGTCAGGGGTATTGACAAAAATAATGTGCCTAAAATAATAACACTAAATAAATTCTGATCCCTCATGTCTTTATTGAACACACTCATTCAATATTCAAATTGGCAGTGGAAAAATTAAGTGAACCCTTAGAATTAATAACTGGTTGTTTCCTGTAATAACCAGGCGCTTCCTGTAGCTGTGGATCAGACCTGCACATCGTTCTTCCTGGTAGAACTGCTTGAGCTCTATCATATTCTTTGGATGTCTCATGTGTATGGCTCTCTTTAAGTCATTCCATAGCATCTCTATTGGGTTGAGGTCTGGGATCTGACTTGGCCACTTCAAAAGGTGGATTTTGTTTTTCTGAAGCCATTCTGTTGTGGACTTGCTCCGGTGTTTTGGGTTTTTGTCCTGTTGCATCAACCAACTTCTGCAGTTTCAGCTGATGTACAGATATTCTCACATTATCCTGAAGAATTGTCTGATATACTTGGGAATTCATCTTCCTCTCAATAATTGCAAGCTGGCCAGGCCCTGATGCAGCAAAGCAGGAACAAATCATGGTGTTTCCTCCACAATACTTTACGGTTGGGACGATGTTTTCATGATGATATGCCGTACCCTTTCTACACCAGATGTAGTGCTGTGTGCTTTTTCCGAATAGTTCAATCTTAGTTTCTTCAGTCCACAAAACATTTTGCCCGTACCGCTGTGGAGTGTCAATGTGCTCTTTTGCAAATTTCAGGCGTGCAGCAATGTTCTTTTTAGTAAGCAGTGGCTTCCTTCGTGGTGTCCTGCCATAGATACCCTGCTTGTTCAATGTTTTACATATTGTAGACTCATGAACAGAGATGTTAGCCAGTTCCAATGATTCCTTCAAATCTTTCCCTGTCATTCGGAGTTGTTTCTTTATCTCATTGATGAGTCTTCGATGTGCTCTTGATGTCATTTTGACTGAGTGCCCACTACTTGGTAGAGTAGCAACAGTCCCAAAGTGTCTCCATTAGTAGAATGTTTGCCTAACTGTAGACTGGTGACTTTCTAAAGTCTTTGAAATCACTTCGCAACCCTTGCCAGCTTTATGTAAATCAATAATTCTTGATCGTAGATCCTCTGAACGCTCTATTTGGCGAGGCATGGCTCACATAAGCATGTGCTTCTTGTGCAGAGCAAACTCCAAAAATTTGAAGTTTTATTATCAGTCAAAGTAGCTGTAGTCCACACCTGCAAACTTATTTTCTGAACCAGACTCCACATGTGCTAAAACCTGACTCCAATTAGCTTTTTTGAGGTCATTAACTCAAGGGTTCACATACTTTTTCCACAAGCACTATGAGGGTTTTTTGGTTGTTCTCAATAAATACATGAAAGATCAGAATATGTTTTGTTATTATTTTAAACACATTAAACACATACTTGTTAATACCCCTGACTTAGATGAAGCTCAGATCACATTTTATGACAAATTTATGCCGAAAACCATGAAATTCCAAAAGGTTCACATACTTTTTCTTGCCACTGTATATGTAATGTATTAGAACGAGCTTATTAATATAAATCTGTAATTTGTCTTGTAGCTGAAACTATTGTCGGAGCTGCTGTAACAGAAAATTAATTAACACCGTTATCAGAAGCAAGCATTCAATAGCACTGTGGTATAATGTCATTTAAGGGATCCTTTTCCTTCTTACATAAAAAAGCCATTAGAGGATTTTTTTTCACCCAGAAGAAACATTATCATAATAGCAACAATCAGGTTGCAAATTGTTGGGCAAGAGCGAGAAAACAACATGGATTATAAGTGGCAGTCTTGTTAGTGAGCAAATATAAGGAGATTTATGATTTAGGAATTTTAAATATTTCACTGGCAACATTCCAACATTACAAACAAATAAATTAATGTTTTGGACTGGCCAAATCAGAGTTCTGACCTTAATTCAATAGAAATGCTGTTGAAGCAAGCAGTTTATGTGAGGAAACCCACCATCTCTGGCACTTACACCTCTACTCTGTGCACTTTGCTTTTCTAGAACTCAATTAAAAGATCTTGTATGGGATCACTACTTGTATTGTTCTCCATTTGTTATATCACTTTGCTTATATTTCCTCATTTGTAAGTCACTTTGGGTAAAAGCGTCTGCTAAATGAATAAAAGTAAATTTAGTCATTTACCAGTTTAACCACATTAACCAGCTGTCTCTGTGTTAACATGAGGCCCAAATCTTGACTGATAGATTTCATGAATGTTATTCATGAAATTAATAATATTTATGGACAATTGTGGTCATTTTTTTTTGTTTTCTTTTATATAAATGCTTTAATAACTGCTAGTTAAAATTATTTAGGTACATAGCCAGTGCTAAGTTCTCCTCATCTGCCAGGTAGAAGGGGCTGATATATATAACTGTACCCAGGAGGACTGGCTTCATTTAGTGCTATGTACTCAATTGGTTTAATCCATATTTCTGTTAAAAACATTATATTAAACTCCTGATCAGTAATGGTTTCATTAACAATAAGTGCATTAGACCTAGAGATCTAATATTTAATAGTCCTTGAATCAGGTCAAAGCTGCTGGCAATGTATTCAGTATGATCTACTTTTTTGTTAATTAGGTTACTAAAACAAACTTTCTGAAAACTCTTGGAGCAGACACAGTGTTGATATTGTGGAGCCTAGGTGATGACTAAATGCAACTAGCAGATGGTCAGTTTAGCTTGCTTGTCTACTCCCTGGCCTTGGCTCTGGATTGCCAACAATTAACTAGGCCTGTTATAGACTATATGCTATGCTACAAGAAATGAGAGCAGCACCTTCCTGAGTTGGATGGACACCATCTCACCTTAACAGGTCAGCTTTGCCCTCAAAACTACTCCGATTATCTATAAAGCCCACATTGTTTTCGGAGCACCACCTGGACATCCAGCAGTTCATAGACCATAACCTGCTGTAAGATACATCACCATGCCACAGTGGGATGGGGCCAGAGCATACTACGGCATCGGACATTGCCTTCACTAATTTACACACCTACAACATTACTCTTAGTAACCTCTGACTGCCGAAAGTGTATATCATTAGCTCCTACATGAATAAATATATTTGAAAACTTGTGCTTGCATAAGACCCTAATATTACCTGCTATGTCCGGCACCCTGGCTCCCAGTATACACATACCTAAAGCTGCTGGAGTCGCCGAAGACCTAACTAATTTCACGTGCATTGAGATAGAGTCTCCTAGAACTAGAGCTCTTTTGGGTTTCTCAGCGGGTGCTTCACTAAAGAGAGTAAACCTGTTGGACACATGAAGCGGAGAGGAGTGGTGCTCCCATGGGCGAGCCTTAGTGTTAGCTTTGTCTTTGAAATTATGCTGCCGAGTCGTCACCCATTCGCCCCACTTTGATGACTTTAAAGCCAGAGTTGGCAGATTGCTATCATTTTCATCAATAAATAAATAAATAAATGACCAAGTAAAATATTTCTTGTCTCATTTCTTTAATTACATTTACATTTTTGACATTTGTCAGACACCCTCCTCCAAATAGACTTACATTTATCTCATTTATACAACTGAGCAGTTGAGGGTTAAGGGTCTTGCTCAAGTGCCCAACAGTGGCAATTTGACAGTGCTGGGATTTTAACTCACGACATTCTGATCAATAGTCCAACATCTTAACCACTGAGATACCACTGCCACATTAATTGGGTTCTCTTGATCTACTTAGAGGACTTTTGTGAAAATCTGATGAATTTTAGGTCATATTTACAAAGAAATATAGACAAATCTTGACGGTTTATAAACTATCAAGCACCACTGTAAGACGATCAGAGATACAGTGTGTGAGAATGTCTTTTAGAGAGATGAGAGACATATGGTAAAAGAGAGAGAGGGAGAGAGTGTGTGTGTGTGTGTGTGTGCAAGAAAGCATGTCAGAATACTGTGTTCAGCTTTTATGTCTACTTCTAATGAAATCTGTTATCACTTGGGTCAAGGGCACTTTGCTCTACTAGAGTGTCATGATAAAATCACTTCTCCATTTTTTTAGACTTACGGAAGAAAAAATGATCTGTGAGCTTGTGTTTCATTTCTTTTTGGGGGTTTCCTGTTATCTCATTTAGTGGTAGATGAACCTGAGTATGAGTGCGGTTCATTTTTACAGCTACAGATGGCTGACTAGCATTTGCATAGATATGCAAAACACCGGCTCTGTCTCATTGTGCTCACTGATGCTATCAGTTTCCAAAGCACATAAATCCCGGTCCCTCGCTTTACCTGTCTGGTTCACTGTGCACAGTTTTCCTATTGTGTCTGATATTGCATGGCTAACATACCATATGCAAAAATTTCTAAAGATAAAATAAAAATTCTGTCCTGTAAAAAGATTCTCTGTCTGGTAATGCTGTATTATTAATACAACTTTATCACTGTGTTACCTTTAAAGTCTGTCTCACCTTCACATAAATGCGGTAGGTTCTGTATTATATGGTGTGTAGGACAGGGAAGGTTTCACAGGTCTCTCTATCTCTCTCTCTCTCTCTCTCTCTCCCATTACTTAGTTGCGAACACTTGGCAAGCATCCTGTCATCTGTGGCTATAAAGAACCAGTGACTTTGCCTTTAAGTGCTTTTATGTTCCATTTCAGTGGTGTTTCAGCTTAAGATAATGGTCGTGTATACAGAGGCTTTTACCAATGGCATCTGATTTATGTTTTGGCTAAGATGCTATTGAAGCGTCAGAGAAAGCCTCTACATTTCTTACACTTGTTTTCTCATCACCTGCTTTACAAGCAGTTACAAAACCAAAATAGTGTCTTTCACTATTTTAAAGTCCATAAGTTTTTTCAATTCATTTTTTTTGTGATTTATCATGAGTTATAAGCTTCTCAATTGATTTTCCCCAATACGTATTTATTTATTATGTATTTATTTCATTCACTGATCTAATTGTATATTGATATACATTAATTTACTCAAATACTATCTCTTGCTCTCCACTAATACTGGTGCTGTCACGTAATGTAAGTTAGGACGGCTGCAAATTTGGACAAAAGTGAGGACAAGAACAGGATCAAAACTATGGCACAGAAACAAGGAACAAAAGCTTGGCACGATGATAACTTTTACGCAATACTTTGTGCCGAACAATGCGATACGAGTAGAGCAACAATTCAGTTAAATCAATTGTTAAGTTAAATTAGCAATTAAGTAGAGCAAAAAAAGTAACAAAAAAGGTACAATCAAATATTTACAAAAATGTGAGGGGTGTGATCACTTTTGTGAGATACTGTGTGTGTATATATATATATTACACCCCATTTGGCCTTTGTAAATTGTACAGTCATTGACTCTCACTTCTATTTCTGCAGGAAATTCCAGGCAGCCTTTATTACATCGTTTGTTAGTTTGAGTTTAAGTTCACTTTAAGAATCTCTGTGACATTTTATTTCTTTGGAAATGATTTTTGCTGAAAAATGTTTTGCTGATCATTAATGAATACAAAAACTAGTAAATAGTGTGTAAAGTGTAAATAACCTAAACATTACACAAATTAAATCAAATCATTTAGTTCAAATGTATCCTGATGATGTAGACCACAAGAGGCATTTTGTAAAACCTTGTGTGTGTGTGTGTGCTTCTGTCTCTCTCACCATTCAGAGACCTCTCGAAACGTGACCTTTGAGGGCCGCTACCACTGCAAGCAGGGTCAGGAGATCAGTCTGGAACGCCTGTGTGACTTCACTCCTGATTGTGCTCAAGGGGACGATGAAGGAGAGCCATGCCGTGAGTATTACAGCAATGCACAAGGACGATGGCATATAGAGAGAGCACAGACAGTAGAGGGCAGAGAGCAGCAGATCTCTAATGAACATGCCATGGGTCATCCTTATAAACAACAAGACCTGGATGCTGTAGATGCAGCTACTCTGTATTAAGCACAGATTGTCACTCACACTTTCAGGGGTGAAATCTGCCCCCCCCTTTTTTATCTTTTTTTTTTTTTTTTACCTCTAACAGTAACTGCCCTCTTTTTTCTCTCTTTCTCTCACTCTCTCTCTCTCACTCTCACTCTCCTTCTTTTGGCCAAGAATGAGCATACTACTCCTGCCTGCTTGTTTATTCTGGATTCTTGACTTTTTTTTTTGTACATTACATGTAACCATGTGTCCGCCCAGATGTGAATGATAACTTGCAAATGCCTTGGTGGAAGAGTGGAGTAACATCTCACAGCAAGAACTGTTGCAGCCCATGAGGATGAGATGCACTGAGCATTAGATGCACTTAAAGAAGCTGGTGGCCACACCAGATACTGTTTGTTTATATACAGTATCAAATAAACAATGTTCTTACCCTTACTACTAATATTTATGCATTAATTAAGAAAATATTGTAAAGTTCTATCGAAATGTCACAGTAAACGTAAGTCCCATTTTGTCTTTGGTGTCATTCCAAAAATTCTGCAATTTTCCAAAGCATCTTTTCCCATTCTAAATCTGTTACAGATATACCATAGCCAGATCATGGTGCAGTGACTGCCTCTATACATGCCATTTTCTCTAGAGTTCTCTGTTCTATTTTGCACCATCTTTCTGTCAAACATGTCAGTCATGGCATGCACAATATCACAACCTGCAGCATTCAGAACACTTGTAGATGTTTTTACTAGACCAAAAAAAACAAACAAACAAACAAAAAAAAAACATAATACATCCATGTACTACTTGCTGTTTGGATTTCATTTCCTTCAACTTAATAGTTGGATGTTTATAGTGTGTATTGACTGGCTTTGAATCAATCATTCAAAAAAAAAAAAAAAAACATTTTCACCTGAGCCATAATTTTCACTCTTTATCTCTGCTGTAGATGTGTTTAACAAACCAGACCTCACCCATCACTGTGTGCAGAAGCTTTTAGTATATAGTGGTAGCATATTTGATACACAGACACATTCCATCACTGACTGGAAATTTCAAAAATGATTTCACTGACATCTACCAACCTTTACAACAACTTCTGCCAACATATTTGGATTAGATCTGCCAGAAGAGACAACTTTCTCATAAATTCTTGTTTGCTCTAACAATGGCTCTTATTCTGGCTAACAGTCACTTCTGATTCACATTAACAATGTTGGATATTTATAAGGCTCTTATATTTTGCTGCAAAACTATGTTGATTCCTTTGTTTTTAAGTCATGGGAATAATGGGAGTTATGAATTTTATATATAGAAATGCTATAAGATAAAGCTTTGCTCTAATCTGATCACAACCTACAGCAAGACGGATTCCATATTATCACCCGTACTACATGTGTTGTTCCATCAAGATGTTCAGTGTGCATATGTTTAGCAGATGAGAAACCTTTCATGTTCTACTATATTAAGTTCTGGAAACTTTCCTTAACTGAAATCATTTTCTTTTTTTGAATGAATCTCAATCATGTATAAGGGTCATATAAACTTTTTTTTTTTCAATGTATGCTATCACCTGTTCAGAACATTCTTTGTTTTGATGATGACATGTCCGTGCAGATGCATTAAGTTTGACATTTTGACAGCTTAATCATATCCTGACAATGACTACGTTTACATGGACCACAGTAATCTAATTATTGACCTTACTCTGATTAAGATAATAATGTGATTAAGGTGTTTACATGAGTTGCTTTTAGAATACTCCTGTCATGTTCCCGTTTAACATGTTTTAGAACATAATTAGATTAACAGCCCCCGTCATTACATCACTGCACCACGCCATCCGACATCCCTCCAGAATTTCACGTATCAACATACAATTCGTCTTCGTATTTTTATTTTTTTTTTAAAAATACGAGTGCTTTAAGTGCAGTTAATTATTTGTCATGCTATATGTGCTAATAGAAACTGCTTGAAGCCGTGGGCTGCGTCTCAAACCGCGTACTTACTGTCTATAAGCGAACTCTTTTGTCGTAAAATGCAGTGAAAACTCTCACACGACGTTCATAATGTGATTAAGGTGTTTACATGTCTGTAATACACGTCCATAATGCGACTAAAACAAGAGTACTCCACCTGTCTTAATTCGATTAGAGCTTAATTCGAGTATGACCTTAATTAGATTAAGGTAAGTAAAAATTCCTGTTTACATGGTCGTTTCTTAATCAAAGTATGGTCTTAATCGGGTTAAGAGTGGATTATTGCTGTACATGTAAACGCAGCTATTCAGTGCACCAGAAGAGCATACTTAGCTACAGTAGCAAGGTTTAAGACATCTTTAGGCAGACTATTTTTTTATTACTGCATGTGTTAAATTGACTTTATTCATTTATTTATTTTTTATTTGTTATTTGTTTATTTGCCAGGTCACTCCAGGCTCACTAACACTATCCAAGAGTGACATATTCTTCCTAATTCAAGTGAATATTTAGTATTCAAGGCTTATGTGTGTACATGCAATATTCAAGCAGCCAGACAATCTCTTGCAGAAATATTAGTTACTACAAAGAAAAAAAAATTATCTCCCTTGTTTGTTCATTTCTTTTTTATTTTTTTAATGAAATTCATATCAATCCTAATAGCATTACACAAATCCACAAGGATTTCCTGATGGAGAGGATGCTTACTAATAGGGCTTTCTTTTTTTCTCATTTCATTCTCCTTGCTTTACAACATAAAAAAAAAATCTTCATCTGCATGCCGTCTTTGTTGCCTCGGAGTTC